TTTAAAAAATCAGCACGAACATCGGTGCCAAACTAACACGATGTCAGGCGCTAGATTTGAAGCTTTCGTGATGTGCAAGGATTCATACTCTTTGGATTTTTTTCGGTAAAGTCGCGGAGGTAAAAAAAATAAAGTTAAACCCAAGTTAAACTTTAGCAGCCTTATAGTTTACAGCAGTATGCTCTGCAAGGCAACCAGTTTGTCAGCTTAACTACTGCCTCTTGCCTCTGGTTCATGTGTGTAACGCTCTTCAACCTGCACACGGCCATCTCTCCGTCCCCCCCCAACCCCCTGCAGCATAACAGAAGGCGGCTTAACTTAGCCCCCCCCCACGGCCCTTCTTGTCTCTCCCCCCCCCCTTAACCTGTATACAATCTCGGGTGTCACTACCACCACCATTACACCACCACTACTACCACCACCACTAGCACCATCACCACCACCACTTCCACCATTACCACCACTACTACCATACACTACCATCACTACCACCACCATTACCACCACTACTACCAGCAACGCTACCACCACCATTACACCACCACTACTACCACCACCACTAGCACCATCACCACCACCACTTCTACCGCCACTTCCACCATTACCAGCACCACCACCACTACTACCATACACTACCATCACTACCACCACCAATACCACCACCACCACTACTACCATACACTACCATCACTACCACCACCAATACCACCACCACCACTACTACCGTACACTACCATCACTACCACCACCATTACCAACATCACTACAATCACTGACCACCACCGCTACTACTAATAACACCACCGCTACCGGGATGTTTGCGCGCTGAATGCTGGAATCTGATCCCGCGTCTCCTCCCTCTCCTCCGGCCCTCCCCCCTCACCAGCGGCCTCCCAGACGGCCTCCCCCAGCCCGGGCCCCGGCCCCGACCCCGGCCATGGCCACGGCCGCCCCCTCCGCGAGGGCTCGCTCCTCCCGGCCCATCCGGGTGCCCAAGCGCTCCACGGACGACGCCGGAGGAGGAGGAGCCGAGTCCCACGCGGCGCCCTCCAAGGTCGCTCGCCCGCTCGGCGACGACGCCGGGGGGCCGGGGCCCGCGCCGGGGCCTCCCCGCCGCGGCCGTCGTCTTCGTCGCCCCGTGACGTTCCGGGCTCTCGAGGGGGGGCGCCGCCGCCGGGAGACTCCGGCGACGGCGGCGCCCCCCCAGGAGAGCTCCCGCGGCGGCGTCAGCAGCGGCGCCCGGCCGACGCCGGGAATCAGCCCGAGGGTCGCCCCGGAGCGCGGAGACGGCGGCGGAGAGTCGGGGCCGGCGCTCGGTGCCGACGAGGCGGCGGGCAAGGAGGAGGCGGAGGAGGCGGAGAGACGCAGGGAGGCCGCGGTTGGACCGCGTGCGGCGCGGAAGAGACACTTCGACTTTTGGTGGCAGGGCATGGGCAGGAGGGGGAGCAGCAGGAGGGGCGGAGGAGGCGGAGCGAGAGGAGGAGGAGGAGGGGAAGAGGAGGCCGAGGCGGCGATGAAGGCGGAGGAGGAAGAGGAGGAGGAGGTTTTGGCCGGGCGGTCGCCGCTAAGCAAGCGGCGGGAGGCGGCGGCGGATTGCCCGGTGGGACCGAATCCCGATCCCTGCCCGGGCTCCTCTACCTGCCGCGCTCCTCCGCCTCCTCCTCCGCCGCCGCTGCCGGCGGCGGCGGTCGCGGGCAAGCGGCGCTCGGCCCCACGTGGGGCGACGTTCCACTTCTGCTCGCTGATGCCGCGGCCGCTGGCTGAGCCGCCGCCGCCCACCGAGAGGCGCCGGGGTCGCGCCCTGGAGAAGCAGCGGCAGCGACGGAGACAAATTCAGCAACAATACCGGCAGCAGAGAGCGTCGTCATCGTCCTCCAGCTGTTGGTCGTTCTCGGACGCATCGTCGTTGTCGTCGTCGTCTTCATCGCCGGAGGACGAGGTGGTGGTGGAGGGTGACGAGGTGAAGGAGCGGAGGGGCGAGGAGGAGGAGGTGGTGGAGTCTACGGGGGGCGTCCGCAGGCTGCTGCTGAAGTTTCGCGCCAGCCGCCTGCAGCCGAGCGTCGACAGAGCACGAGACGATGGGGAGGTGGCGGACAACGAGGAGGAGGAGAACGAGGAGGAGGAGAGGAAGACGAGGAGGAGGAGGAAGAAGAAGAAGAAGAGGACGAGGAGGAGGAGGAGGGGACTATGGAGATCACGCAGTGCAGTCGATGATGGCGACTATAAGTCGGGCGACGAGGTGGAGGAGAAGGAGGAGGAGAAGGAGGAGAGGGTGGCGAGTCTCAAGAGGGTGGAGGAGTGCCGGATTCTCAAGCAGATAGACGACATCATGGCTGAGATACCCCAGCTGGAGGGGAGATGCAGGGTGAGGAGGAGGAGATGAGGTGTAGGGTGGTGAGGAGGGGCTGGGTGGTGAGGTATAGGGTGGTGAGGAGGGGCTGGGTGGTGAGATGTAGGGTGGTGAGGAGGGGCTGAGTGGTGAGGTGTAGGGTTGTGAGGAGGGGCTGGGTGGTGAGGTGTAGGGTGGTGAGGAGGGGCTGGGTGGTGAGGTGTAGGGTGGAGAGGAGGAGGGTGAGGAGACTACCGGGCAGCGGGTGAGGGTGTTGGGAGTGGCTCACTCAGTCACTCACTCACTCAGTCACTCACTCAGACACTCACTCAGTCACTCACTCAGTCACTCACTCAGACACTCACTCAGACACTCAGTCACTCACTCAGTCACTCACTCAGTCACTCACTCAGACACTCACTCGCTCACTCAGTCACTCACTTAGACACTCACTCAGTCACTCACTCGCTCACTCGAACACTCAGTCACTCACTCAGTCACTCACTCAGTCACTCACTCATACACTTACTCAGTCACTCACTCAGTCACTCACTCAGACACTTACTTAGACACTCACTCAGACAGTCACTCACTCAGTCACTCACTCAGACACTCAGTCACTCACTCAGTCACTCACTCAGTCACTCACTCAGTCACTCACTCAGACACTCAGTCACTCACTTAGTCACTCACTCAGACACTCACTCAGACACTCAGTTACTCACTCAGTCACTCACTCAGACACTTACTCAGACAGTCACTCGCTCAGTCACTCAGACACTCACTCAGACACTCAGTCACTCAGACACGTACTCTGACACTCAGTCACTCACTCAGACATTCAGTCACTCACTCAGACACTCAGTCACTCACTCAGTCACTCACTCAGTCACTCACTCAGACACTCACTCAGACACTCAATCAGTCACTCACTCACTCAGACACTTACTTAGACACTCACTCAGTCACTCACTCAGTCACTCACTCAGACACTCAGTCACTCACTCAGTCACTCACTCAGACACTTACTCAGACACTCAGACAGTCACTCACTCAGACACTCACTCAGACACTCAGTCACTCAGACACGTACTCAGACACTCAGTCACTCACTCAGTCACTCAGTCACTCACTCAGACACTCAGTCACTCAGACACGTACTCAGACACTCAGTCACTCACTCAGACAGTCACTCAGTCACTCACTCAGACAATCAGTCACTCAGACACACACTGACACACTGACACACACACACTGACACACACACTAACACACACACACTCAGACACACACTGACACACACACACTGACACAGCAAAAAACAAAGATCCCCCGTATAGCCTTAACAGACTGTAGGGGCAAGTGCTGTTAGCGAGCACCTACACACACTGACACACACACTGACACACACACCATGATACACACACTGACTGGAGGAGGTGGAGCGTGGTCAACACATCTACGCCTGAAACATTTTAGAAAGAAGCGGAGAATACGGAACAACCCACCTGTTGTCCATTTCGATTTCCGTGTTGCCTCTAATCTTCAGTCTTGCTGTGTATCCACCGTCTGCTGGAGCTCACCTTCTATAGCGAGGATATCCATCATCTCCAGTTTGTGTGTCTTTAATAAATTGTCTCGGATATTTCTTGCTGCTCTCTATGTCCTTCATACATGCTGCTGCATTGACATTAAGGTTTCCGCATGGTCCATGAATCATATTTGCGGTCACTACTGCAAACAGATTTTGGGTCTTCCTCTGGATTTGGAAACTCGGCAGATATAACATCGATTTGGATTGGATGATTTTATTCTTTCAGCCAGATTAAAATATGAGCGTGGGGAAGTCATCTACATCATTAGACCACCTTTGGCGGTACCAAAATATAATAATAGGGGTTTTTCCCCTTTTTTCTGGCAACAAAACTGAAACCTTTTTACAAGGATTCATGTTACTGCATTAACCACAATACCTGCAGTCAAAATGCAAACAAAACACACGCACTATGATAATATGTGGCATTGTCCTTGAAACCGATTGGTCCACACCAAGGGACGGCTTTCTTGAGAGCCTCGACCCAATTGGTGCTCGAGCAGAGGACGCCAAAAGGTTTCAGTTTTGTTGCCAGAAAAAATGGGGAAACCCCTATGATGTGTAAGTCCTCGTTTCTGCCACTCAGTTGAGTACATCCAGCATCTTGTTTCTCCAAAAAACACGACTCTCAGTGAATGCTCTCGATGAGTTTGACTTGCTTTCGTCTGAACACCCTGGCTGTGAAGTCGTATCGACGGCTGGGTGTCTGGCCGAATGAAAGTTATTACTTTTTTTGTTTTATCTGAGGCCAAGTTGGATTACATGTAAAGGTAATAAATAAGTCGGGGACATCCCTACGCTCGAACGTATGACATGGCACCTTGAGCATATTCGTGCATGCGTCTAGGGCTTCCTGTGAACGTAGCAGACGCCTGGATGCTACAAGGGGGGGGGGGGATGATGTAGTGCCATTGTTGGGCTGTATGCGTATTACCACGGGAGCTGACCTGTAATAGCGGACATGCGTCAACGGGGTGGTATACAGACCAGGTGGGACTAACAGGGCCCCCAGACCCCAAGACCGTGGGGGGGGGGGGGGGGGGGGGGGGGCGTGGCTGGGGGATGTTCCTGGGCCCCCTAGAGAGTTCCAGAAGGCTTGGCCAGGGGCGGAGAGACCCTGGAACAGGGATAAAAGCCGGACCCCTGAACGGGTTTGGTGGTCCTCGTCCACCTGAAGCTCTGAAGAAGACTCTGAGCGCTACCCTGAAGACCCTGAAGACCCTGAAGCGAAGAGCCCAGTGACCCTGGCTAGGGTCGAGTTCAGACATAACCAGTGTAGGGTTAGCGCTCGAACCAGAGTAAGGGCACCGTAGTGTGGAGGGACTGCCTCCTGAGGTTATCGGCTGTGAGGGGTCATCACCCCTCTGTGCTGTGGTTCCCTTGTTGAATAAACGTGTTTCCTCTAGCGAACCGTCTCGCCTCGTCTTGGACCCACTGCACGTGTCACCTATGGTAATGAAACCTCTTGTCGCAAAAAATTAGCGGCGTGCGAAAGTGAAAGGTGTTAACGAAGTAATAATAAATTTAGATTTAAAGCTTTCGTGACTGCGAGGAATTAATGTTCTTGGTTCTTTCGGTAAAGTCACCACCACGTAGAAGGGAAACAATAAAATAATAAAAATATAAAACAATAAAATTATCACGACGTTTCGACTGCAACACGAGTAATCGTCATCAGGTGTGAAAACCACAGCAAGAAATTTTGAAAAAATTGGTGGGTTTTTTTAACGTTAGCACCACGGAGAGCGATTTGACAGTTTGTTCAGATGGACGAGTCCATCTAAGTTCGGAATAGAGGAGGGGGGAGACGAAAATAATGGATGCTGTCTGAAAGCCACCATAAGCGTGAACAATCAATTAAGACCCGAAATGGTTTATCAAATCTTTCCAATGATTGCTAAGCCAGAATCATCTTCCCAGTTGAAATTGTCTGTATATGTGGATAGCCTCATGAACGAATCTCTCATGGTAGCCAGATGGCTTACAAACAACCTCTGTCTTGGAGAAGTCAATGTCATGTGAGCCTACTGAATTATAACAATGATCTGCCACGGCCGAGGTGTTGGTCCTACCGTGTTTCAGGTCTGCTTTGTGTTCACGAATGCGCTCCGAGACATGGCGTTTGGTTTCTCCAATGTAACTACTACCACAGAGGCAACTTAGTTTGTAGACACCAGGGTACTGTATGTCCGGAATCACATCTTTTACAGACGGAACCAGATCACGGAGTTTATGTAATGTGTTGAATCGGACCTAGATCTTGTGTTTATTCAAGATTTTGGAGATCTTTTTTGTGATCCCCGCAATGTAGGGCAAAGTGATGGTTTTGAAAGGCTCCTCAAGAGGGTCCTTCATGGTTGGAGTGATAGCTTTGCGGATTGTAGTCGGAGTGACCATTAGCCTTAAGAGCTTGGTGTACGTGCTTGAGTTCACTGGCTATGTGTTCCTGGTCGGATATGTATTGGGCTCTATGGTTTAGAGTCTTGATGAGGGAATTCTTCTGGGATGGATGGTGGTGGGAATCCGGTTTCAGCTAAGCATCCATATGGGTAGCTTTCCCGTAGACAGAGTGGCTCATTGAACCATCATTTTTTTTTACCAATTCCACTTTACAATAAAATTGTAGACACGGCACAATATATATTTCTGAATCTTTATTTTTACCAACATTAAAAAAATATTCTCCGTTAAGGCAAAATTCTGAAATATTGGATTTTTTACAAAGCCTTGTGAATTCACCTTGTATCTGAACAAGTTCAATTTGTGCAAATATTTTTTTCCAAACGTAAAAATAAAAAAGACATTGCTTACAAATATCAGCTCTATGTTTTCAAGTCAATACAGTTTGGGTAGTGAATAAATTAGTCTAAATAAGCTACACATGACGAATTGTAGGCAATTATAGTTATAATCAAATACATTTTTAAACAATCACGTGGTCCCTGTAGTCGCCGTTAGAGACACAATCTGCTTGAAAACAGTTTATCAACATATATGAATACATTGATTCGAATAAGCAGAGTTAATTTCCTATTTATGGCATGCCGGTTATGTGTCAGTTTTCGATATCAACATCACCTTATAAAAGAATAACATTTAAAATACGCACAGACAAGTATTCATTCGGAATTATTGACAGGCATATTAACAAAATTGAATTACTGCAGTGAAATATACTGCATCAGGTTACATCGTATTAACAAGAAGCTATTTTTAAAATACGCACCGCCTGCTTAACAGTGTATGTACAACGTACTATTGTAGTGTCATTCAAAACGAGTAGGCCATTGCATGCTGGCGTCTGGGTCAAAATGTAGCAAATTCTAAACATTAGCTACAAATAATAGATCACGGAGTTTAGATCGCAACACAAACAATCGTCATCAGGTGGGACAAGCACAGCAGCAAGAAGACAAAACTGCTGGAGTAGGCGCCTACTTCAGCGTCTTCTTCTTGCTGTGGTTGTCCCACCTGATGACGATTGCTTGTGTTGTGATCTAAACGCCGTGGTCTGTTATGTTTCTACCCACGTGATGACTTTACCAAAATAACTAGACAGTGTGGATTCCTGCAGTCACAAAAGCTTCGAATCAAGATTGCCTACAAACTACACAACCGAGATGACGCATCAATCATCGCCCCCTACTGACAGGCTCTTGTCCACATGCAAGCTGGTGCAGGGCCACCACCTTGTGCCACACAGGGGCAGCTGCTACTTGGGGATGCTCTTCGAGCGTCTCAGACGAGATACGACACAAAACTCCGAATTGCCGAGGCGATTAAGCGAGCAAAGCGTAAAAGCAATTATCATGAGAACATCGTGAATGCTTGGGAGCTTATTGGCTCTCGCTCCTGGTGAGAGATTGACCCAACCCACAGGTCCACAAAGACTGGCCGCTCTTACTCTGCAGGTTGAACCTAAGAACTGAGTGTTCAACTTCACATTCTAGTCATTAAAGGCCTGTGACAAAGGTGCATCTATTGTAGCGACATCGTCTCTGGCTTACACATCTACCGGGTCTCCACTTGACTTTGTATTGTCTCGGAAGTCCACCCACACCTCCACTTCCACAAACTGCTGGGAGTTGCCTTGCTCTGCCTCACAGTCAGAATTCTCCTCCTAATTCACGTTGCCTCCATCGATGTGAAGGTCCGATTTTGGAGTTGAATCTTCATCTTCACATTTCACCTTCACTTCTTCCCTCTTCACCATCACCTCTTCCCTTTTCACCATCACGTCTTCGCTCTTCACCATCACCTCTTCATATTTCACCTCCATACCTTTAAAAGTGTCCAAGCTGGGATTTTCTTCCGGTTCTTGTTTCTGAGGGATGGGCTCATTGCGGCACTTTGACTTTCACAAGCTGATTTCAAACTCCACTCCTTGTGGATCTTCTGATGCTTCTGTGTTCTCTGGTGTACTTGAAGATTTCATGAATGTGCAAATGCCTTCACGCAGAGTGGACCTCAAGGGTTTCTCTCCTGTGTGTATTCTCTGGTGTGTTACAAGAGGAGATGACTGTGCAAACGCCTTCCCACACACACTGCACTTGAAGGGTTTCTCTCCCGTGTGTGTTCTCTGGTGTACTTTAAGATGTGGTGACTGTGAAAACGCCTTCCCACACAGAGTGCACTTGAAGGGTTTCTCTCCCGTGTGTGTTCTCTGGTGTACTTTAAGATGTGGTGACTGTGCAAACGCTTTCCCGCACAGAGTGCACTTGAAGGGTTTCTCTCCCGTGTGTGTTCTCTGGTGTATTACAAGATTACATGAATCTGAAAATGTCTTCCCACACACACTGCACTTGAAGGGTTTCTCTCCCGTGTGTGTTCTCTGGTGTTTTTTAAGAGATGACCGTGAAAATGCCTTCCCACACACACTGCACTGGAAGGGTTTCTCTCCCGTGTGTGTTCTCTGGTGTAATACGAGATTATATGACTGTGTAAACGCCATCCCACACACACTGCACCTGAAGGGTTTCTCTCCCGTGTGTGTTCTCTGGTGTTTTACAAGAGCAGATGAATCTGAAAATGTCTTCCCACACACAATGCACTTGAAGGGTTTCTCTCCCGTGTGTGTTCTCTGGTGTACTTTAAGATGTGGTGACTGTGCAAATGCCTTCCCGCACAGAGTGCACCTGAAGGGTTTCTCTCCCGTGTGTGTTCTCTGGTGGGTCTGAAGAACTGATGACCATGCAAATGCCTTGTTACACACAGTACATTTGAAGGGTTTCTCTCCTGTGTGAGTTCTCTGGTGCCGTGTCAAATTTCCAGTCCGGTCCGTGCTGTATGCACGCTGGTCGCATTGTTGACTTGTCGTACCGAGCTGCGCTGAGTGCCTTTGCTCCATCAGACCAATTCTGCAGAGGAAGCGTCAGCTGCAGATAGAAAAAAATAATATCCACACCATCTACACGTCAGGTACAGAGGAATGCACACGTGACTTACACGTCTATACTTATTAATATATTCATGATGTAGTGAAAAAGTTTCCCAAATTCATCAGATTTGATGAACGTGCAAACGCCTTCCCGCACAGAGTGCACCTGAAGGGTTTCTCTCCACGTGCTGTTATGGCACACAATGAGAGGGAAAATGTCATGAATATGCCTGGAAGCCTTCATATCTTCAAGATGAATGTTAACCCAAAACTCTAAGCACACAATTTCGGCTGTCTGACTACAAAGGAATATTTATGAGAGCTAAATTCAGCTGACATAGCAAAGGGTGTTGAAAACAATACTATTTGTGTTATGCATAAATGCATAAATTAATGTTCAATCGCAACTTAGAGTTGTGAATCCAGGCTCAGATGTCCTTGAATGCTGGGGATGAACAGATCCGACTTCAGCTGCATGTGTGTGCTGTGTTCACCTCCTGTTTCCATTCTTAGTAAGAGTTCCAGAGGAAAACAAAAATAAACTATTGTTTTGATATAACCTCCGTGTTCAACAGAGTTAATAGACTTTACTGCAAACACAAACTTGACACTGTCACACACTGCCATGAGTAAACAGGTGGTGGTGTGACCAGAACCATGCCTGGCCACCTTCATCTGCTCAGCATTAATTCTTCCTCACTCCACCAAGTAATGAATCGAGGATCAATCAACATAGCCGAGGCTATCCGTGTCTCTGTCTCTCTCTCCCCGTGGTGAAGGTGTTCCCCTCCACACATTCAGAGTCAACAGCGGCACGCGCTTAGCGTCTTTGACCGATAGATACATTGACGCACGTATTGTTGGTTCTTTCAGTAAAGTCACGTAGATAGAAAATAAAAATAACAGATTAAATTTAATAAGATAAAGACCACTTGTGTTGCGATCGAAACGTCGTGGGTTTTTTGCTTTATTTTAAGTTTTTTATTTTTCATTTAATTTATTATCTGTTATTTTATTTTATTTTCTATCTACGTGACTTTACCGAAAGAACCAAGAATATTAATTCCTGCAGTCACCAAAGTTTTAAGTCAAAACATTCACACACGTTGACAAAGCCTCACCTTGTGTTGTTGTGGGCAGGTCGCTTCTGATAACAAGAGCGGTATAGCAGCTCAAGCGGGCTTGGCCTGGTGAAAAAAAATAAAAACTGCGTGAATATTGACAATAAAACAAAGTTACAAAGTGGCGAGCCGGGTGAAGACAAATTAAACTTAAGCGAGATAATTAAAGTGAATGCAATCAGGCGAGGGCAGGAGGCAAGGCCCCGCGTGGCTAGGCCCCGCTGTTGTAAAGTTCCAACCTGGACATCGATTCCCATGCTCGCTGCTACTCAACTGACATCCCTACGAGAGAGAGCGAGGCTCTACCTTGGTAAACAACAACAACCACCACCACAACAACCACAATCGCAATGAGAATTTCTCACCTCGGATTTCAGTGCAGGAAGCGATAGCGATAGCTTCCTGTTACCTCGTGACGTCACGCAGCAGCAGGTGACGTAACGTCACTTCCGGGGTACGAGACACGCTCCTCCCACAATGAGCTGCTCTGTAAATAAATAAATTATAGAATGGATCAATTATGTTAATGTTACCCGTCCCATATGTCGTGAGGTGCTGAACCCGTCGCTAAAAACTCACGACAGCTTTAACGAACACATTATGTTAATGAGCAGCCAGTCACTGGGCGTAGCTTTGCCCAAATAAGGATTGGCACTGGAACGATATCGGCAGTGACCCAAGTGGAGGTGACGTCATGTTCAAGAGCGCGGGGGAGGGGTGAATACCTTGATGACATGACGTCACTAGCGAGGTACACCTCCCCCTGGCGTTTCACGCCGATGAAGTAATGCTGAGTGGTGACGTCACAGAGCGGGATTGGAGTTTAAGTTGATTTAGATTCATTTTACATTGCTCCCTCCCTTGGGTGCGTGGGCTCAGCTACAACAACGTGGACATTATTGTGTATACACTGTGTGTGTGTGTACACTGTGTGTGTGTACACTGTGTGTGTGTACACAATGTGTATACACTGTGTGTGTGTACACTGTGTGTGTGTAAACTGTGTGTGTATACACTGTGTGTATACACTGTGTGTGTGTGTACACTGTGTGTAGTGTGGGGCAGAGGTGGTGCATTGGACAGTCATCTCAGTCAGTCGACCCATAGGATCTTTTCATCAATTTATTTTCAATTTATTACTTTTATTTGTTATTATTTTATTATTAAAATGATAATTTATTATTGCTATCTTTTATTTTTCTATCTACGTGACTTTACCGAAAGAACCAGGAATATGGTAGCGCATTCTCTATTTATTGCCGAGGTTCAAGGTTCAAATCCGACAGGCATATCTGGCTACCCCAGTAACGTTCCCCACAACATGCACAGTCTGCTTAACAGCGGATGTCAAACAAACCACTGTGTCACTCACAACGCACATTGCATGTTGGTGTCACAGTCAATTGTGGCAATTCCAGACACTATCCAGAAATTTCGATTTAAAGCTTTCGTGACTGCAAGGATTCATCTTCTTTGGTTCTTACGGTAAAGTCACGTAGAATGAGAATAAAATAATAAATTGATAAAATAAAATAACACAATAATATTCTCACGACGTTTCGGCCACAACACAAGCGGCCTTCATCAGGTGAAGGGGACGAGACTGTCTGGAGGACAGCGCTGGAGCGAGAAAGCCACGCTGAGATCACGACCTTTAAGCTGTGTGAGAAGAAACAAAGCACCATGACAAAGGAATTAGCATATAATTTAGCATTGAAATGGCTGAGTGATTAGGTTGTGACTGGTCACAGAAAAGGCTATGTTAAAGTTAAAGCAAACACATCCGCAAAGGCACCCCTTGACAAAGGAATTAGCGTAGAATTTAGCATTGAAATAGCTAAGTTAAAGTATACACATCCGCAGAGGCACTCCTTGACAAAGGAATTAGCATAGAATTTAGCATTGAAATAGCTGAGTGATTAGCTTGTAACTGGTCACAGAAATAGCTATGTTAAAGTCAGAGCATATACATTCACCGAGGCACCTAGTACAAATCAAACAGGAGAATTTAGCATTGAAATAACTAGGCGAATTTAGCATTGAAATAACTGAGTGATTAGCTTGTGACTGGTCACAGAAATGGCTATGTTGAAGTTAAGGCCTACACATCTGAGCTATTCACAGTAACTGGGTATACAATACAATATATAATGAATACTATATAGTGAACCAATAAAAAATACTAAAATATAAATTACCTCAATGTTATCAATAAACTCTATATTCTCCAATCTGCTAAGCTACCAACAATAAGTCGTTATATATCACAATGCTATATGGCGAAAAATGGGTGGATTCTTACCCTCAACTTTAGCAACACGGATAGCTACGGGTCCTGTTCAGACGGACGAGTTCATCCATGGTCGGAACAGAGAAGGGGGAGAGAGACAGCTGCGAGGCGTTGTTATACTCCATGTTGTAAACCATACCATTAGCCGTGGTGTGAGAGGTATTAAGAGTCAATGCCAGCGAAAGAGCTGCGGTCTGAAGGTCATCGTAAAATACAATTAATTAAGAACGGAAATGGTTTAAAACATCTTTCCAATGGTTACTAAGCCAGAATCCATCTTCTCGGTTGAAATTGTCTCTGTGCTTGTATATGTGAATGGCCTCATGAACGAATCTCTCATGGTAGCCAGTTTAAGTTGATTTAGATTCATTTTCCATTGCTCCCTCCCTTGGGGTGTGAGCTCAGCAACAACAACGTGGACATTATTGTGTATACACTGTGTGTACACTGTGTGTGTACACTGTGTGTATGTACACTATGTGTATACATTGTGTGTGTGTACACTGTATGTGTACACTGTGTGTGCATGTACACTATGTGTATACACTGCGTGTGTGCACTGTGTGCCACTGTGTGTATACACTGTGTGTGTACACTGTGTATGTACACTATGTGTATACACTGTGTGTCACTGTGTGTCACTGTGTGTGTGTACACTGTGTGTGTGACACTGTGTGTGTGTACACAGAGGAGGAGTTGGAGACGCTGCTGCTGAGACTGGAGCGTGCCACTAAGAGGTGGGGCCTTACCATCAGCCCCACCAAAACTAAGCACCTGCCTGGGTATTTTGTACCATCGGACACTCCACCCCCACAACTCCCAATCGGTGATGGGGCAGTTGTGGAGAGAGTGGAGAGTTTCCCATACCTGGGCAGTGTGCTTATGACTGGCTCCAGTTTAACAGCAGAGGTCTCCCTCCGAATCAGTCGAGCGGCAATATCTTTGCATCGGTTGCGTAACGCTGTGTGGAAGCTACCTGGTCTGTCGCTCCGCACTAAGCTTCAGGTCTTCTTGGCCACGGTCATTCCCTCCCTTCTCTACGCTTGCGAAACGTGGACCCCCCTAATGGAACATCTTCGCCGGTTATAAACATTTAGGCTGGCCTGCCTACGATCCATCCTGGGTTTAACCAGACTGGATTGTGTGAGGAGCTCACAAATCCTTGAAAGATCTGGGCAGGGTCCCATCGGTGAGCTCCTCCGGCAGGCAAGGCTGCGATGGCTGGGTCATGTAGCCCGCATGCCCAGCCACCGCATGCCGAAACAGCTTTTGTTTGGCCGGATTGAGGGGGCTAAGCGGGCGCGGCCCGGGCTAGAGAAGAGATGGAGTGATGTGGTACAGGAGGACGTGGAGCTGAGTGGACTTGCCGATGACTGGTACCAGCGGTGTCAAGATCGGCCTCTATGGAGGAGGCTCGTGAAGGATGCTACTGGGCAGTTGGAGGCAGTCGCCCTCCAACAACAACGGAGGGCGGAGAAGCGACGCTCAGAACGAGTGGAGCGCCGGGTGGCTAAAGCACAGCAGGTTGGCACAGTAGGGGGCACAGGTGGTGCATCAGCCAGTCATCTCAGTCGACCCGTGGCACCTGGGTCTGCCCCGTGACCTCCTGCCAGCGGGCGTTCGACACTTCACGTGGCCTCAGGGTGCACATAGCCTGGCACAAGCGTCGTGGTGACGTCACCGCCACTTAGTGGCGAATGGCGGTTGTTGTTGTGTGTACACTGTGTGTGTGTGTACACTGTGTGTCCGAACCCCCGGCAAGGCCATCTACTTAATGACGAGAGAAAATTCACACGAAATGTCCTTTTCAATGAAGTCTTCCAGGTGTAAATTGATACAAGCTTTTAATGAAGAAATAAAATGATCTAATTCAAAACACAACACAATTCAAAGATGTTTCATTTTAAAACTTCAAAACGGAGCATGGGGTACTTGCGTGAATGCGTCCTTCATGTGCAAATGTTGTGACTTTCCTGGCCTGAAGGCCATCAATGTGTTGGACCATTAAATGGTGCACAGCGTCTCAACAACAGCAGTGGGGTTTGCTTCAACCGATAGGTAACGAACATCCAGACGTGAATCAGCAAGGAGCATTTCTAGTCCTAGTTAGACAAAATCTACGTCAACACATAAGACAAAACTACAATTCGTGTAACTTTCAAGTGGTATGCCTTGTAACTGATGAATGATCCGAGCGTGCTCCCTATTTAAAAGATAATGAGTTGCTCCAGAAGCAGACGCTTCGTGAAACACAAAAGTACCCTTTGACCTGTATCACAAGAACAACGGGTCTCACCCGAGTTCTCTGTACAGGTTACTTTCAAACACACACACTTTGTCCTAACATCACTTATTCAATGTTTGACCCTCAGAGACAAAACGTTACATGTACGCACACAATCAGACAAGTATTCTAAATTATTGAAGGGCATATTAACATTGAATTACTGCAGCGAAATTGACTGCATCACGTTACATCGTATTAACAAGAAGCTATTTTTTTAAAAATACACCATCTGCTTAACAGTGTATGTAAACAAACTATTGTGTCATTCAAAACGAGTAAGCCATTGCATGCTGGCGTCTGAGTCAAAATTTTGCAAATTCTAAACATTACCTACAAACTACACAACTGAGATGACACATCAATCATCGCCCCCTACTGACAGGCTCTTGTCCACATGCAGGCTGGTGCAGGGCCACCACCTTGTGCCACACAGGGGCAGCTGCTACTTGGGGATGCTCTTCGAGTGTTTGAGATGCGATATGATACAAAACTCCGAATTGCTGAGGCAATTAAGCAAGCACCGTATAAATGCAAATATTATAACATAGTGAATGCTTGGGAGCTTATTGACTCTCGCTCCGGGTTAGAGATCTAGCCAAGCCACAGGTCCACAAATACTGGCCGCTCTTACTCTGCAAGTTGACAAAGGTGAATCTATTGGAGCTTCATTGTCTCAAGCTTACACATCGACTAACTGGTCTCCATTTGACTTTGTATTGTCGAAGAAGTCCAGCCACACCTCCACTTCCACAAACTGCTGGGAGTTTCCTCGCTCTGCCTCACAGTCAGAATTCTCCTCCTGCTTCACGTTGCCTCCATCGATGTGAAGGTCACCATTTTGGCGGTGAATCTTCATCTTCACATTTTACCATCATATTTTCGCTCTTCACTATCACTTCACCACATTTCACCATCACCTCTTCATATTTCACCTTGATACCTTTAAAAGTGTCCAAGCTGGGATTTTATTCTGGTTTTTGTTTCATGAGGGATGGGCTGATCACAGCACTTTGACTTTCACAAGATGATTTCAGACTGCGACTCCGCTCCTTGTGGATTTTCTGATGCCTGTGTGACTTCTCTGGTGTGTTTTAAGAGCAGATGACCGTGAAAATGCCTTCCCACACACACTGCACCTGAAGGGTTTCTCTCCCGTGTGTGTTCTCTGGTGTCTTTGAAGAACTGCTGACTGTGCAAATGCCTTCTCACACAGAGTGCACTTGAAGGGCTTCTCTCCTGTGTGTGTTCTCCAGTGTGCTTTAAGAGTAGATGAATCTGAAAATGCCTTCCCACACACAGTGCACTTGAAGGGTTTCTCTCCCGTGTGTGTTCTCTGGTGTGTTACAAGAGCAGATGACCGTGAAAATGCCTTCCCACACACACTGCACTTGAAGGGTTTCTCTCCCGTGTGTGTTCTCTGGTGTGCTTGAAGATTTGGTGACTGTGCAAACGCCTTCCCGCACAGAGTGCACCTGAAGGGTTTCTCTCCCGTGTGTGTTCTCTGGTGTGTTACAAGAGCAACCAACTTTGAAAATGCCTTCACACACATACTGCACTTGAAGGGTTTCTCTTCCGTGTGTGTTCTCTGGTGTGTTTTAAGATTAGACGAATCTGAAAATGCCTTCCCACACACACTGCACTTGAAGGGTTTCTCTCCTGTGTGTGTTCTCTGGTGTGTTACAAGAGCAGATGAGCATGAAAATGCCTTCACACACACACTGCACTTGAAGGGTTTCTCTCCTGTGTGTGTTCTCTGGTGTGTTACAAGAGCAGATGAGCATGAAAATGCCTTCAAACACATACTGCACTTGAAAGGTTTCTCTCCTGTGTGTGTTCTCTGGTGTTTCTGAAGAACTGATGGCCATGCAAATGCCTTGTTACACACACTACACTTGAAGGGTTTCTCTCCTGTGCGAGTTATCTGGTGCTGTGTAAAATTTACAGTCCGATCCGTGCTGTATGCACGCTGGTCGCTTGTTGTACCAAGCTGCTGTGCTGACTGCCTTTGCTCCATCAGACCAGCATCAGCTGCAAACAGAAAAAAGCATATCCACACCATCTACACGTCAGTATCGAGGCACAGAGGAATGCAAATATACACAGTCACATATCACTTACACGTCTTTACTTATTCATATATTCATGATATAGTGAAAAAGTTTCAAAAGTTCATCACACGGGCTGTTGTGGCACACAATGAGAGGGAAAATGGTTATAAACATGCCTGGAAGCCCTCGTATCTTCAAAATGAATGTTCACCCAAAACTCCGAGCACACAATTTCGGCTGTCTGGCTACAAAAGGAATATTTATAAAAGCTAAATTCAGCTGACATAGCAAAGGGTGTCGATGAAGCATGCATAACACGGGGGGGTGGGACCTCAAGGCCAGCACCCAGCGGCAGGGTAAACAGTGGGGTGGGAGGGAAAACCCCCTAGGCAGATAAGAGTTGACTTAAGTTGGAGGGAGCGAGGGGATTATCGATGAGTCAACGGCGAGGAACGCAGGCACAGAGACAATGGGAAGGGGGGGGGGATGACGCGACCCCCCCCCCACCCCCCCAACGGCCAGAGCGCTCAAAACGGCTGCAAAGAGGATTCGATTGGATGCGCAGGATGACGTCATGTGCCCCGGGGGTTAAGGGGGGCTTTGGAGACATAAGGGGGCCAGAGGGGCGGATTGAATCAGAGTCCTTCTGGAGCGGCGGAGGAGACCAGCCATCCTCAGCGTCCGTGCGCCGCATGCAAGGTGGAGCTGGAAACGATCGGACAGAAAAAGTCCCCGAGGCGAGCATCTTCCCCAGCCCCCATTGGGCAGCCGAAGAGGTGAGTGGGTACGGGAAGGGGGGCCAATTCAGTCAGCTCGAGCTTGGGGGATAGACGCACTCTGCGACTGCCAGGTGACAGGAGGTTAGGCGCTGTCCGAAGGGTGCTGGCTGGAGGGGGCCATAAACGGGGGTCCCCTATTCGGAAATAAATCTGAGCACAGACTGACGTTGTGACGCGTGGTGCATGTGTGCGTGTGAAGAGCGGTGGGACAGCGGTCGGCGTACAACGGTGTGTGGGTGACTATAAATCAGTGTGGGTGTGTCGCGCGCGCATATTAAAATACCAACGGTTGCTCGCGCCGGTGCGTGTCTGTGCGTGCACCGCAGTGTTAACGGTGAGACACACGAGTGTCACGTGTGTCTGTACGTGCACCGCGGTGTTAACGGTGAGACACACGAGTGTCACTAGTGTCTGTGTGTGCACCGCGGTGTTAACGGTGAGACACACGCGAGTGTCACTAGTGTCTGTGTGTGCACCGCGGTGTTAACGGTGAGACACACGCGAGTGTCACTAGTGTCTGTGTGTGCACCACGGTGTTAACGGTGAGACACACGCTAGTGTCACTAGTGTCTGTGCGTGCACCACGGTGTTAACGGTGAGACACACGCTAGTGTCACTAGTGTCTGTGCGTGCACCACGGTGTTAACGGTGAGACACACGCGAGTGTCACTAGTGTCTGTGTGTGCACCGCGATGTTAACGGTGAGACACACGCGAGTGTCACTAGTGTCTGTGTGTGCACCACGGTGTTAACGGTGAGACACACGCTAGTGTCACTAGTGTCTGTGTGTGCACCGCAGTGTTAACGGTGAGACACACACGAGTGTCACTAGTGTCTGTGTGTGCACCGCAGTGTTAACGGTGAGACACATGCTAGTATCACTAGTGTCTGTGCGTGCACCACAGTGTTAACGGTGAGACACACGTGAGTGTCACTAGTGTCTGTGTGTGCACCGCGGTGTTAACGGTGAGACACATACGAGTGGGTGGGTGGGGGGGGGCATCAGCCCCCACCCATTAGACGTGGCGCCCCCCCCCCCGCTCGTGGTGAGAGGGAGATCAGCCCCTACGTAATGGGGAGTGGGGGGGGGCATCAGCCCCCACAAACGCTGGGGATGAACAGATCCGACTTCAGCTGCATGTGTGTGTTGTGTTAACTTCCTGTTTCCATTCGTATAAAGTTCCAGAGGAAAACAAAAATAAACTATTGTTTTGATATAACCTCCGTGTGCAATAGAGTTATTAGACTTTACTGCAAACACAAACTTGACACTGTCACACACTGCCATGAGTAAACAGGTGGTGGTGTGACCAGAACCATGCCTGGCCACCTTCATCTGCTCAGCATTAATTCTTCCTCACTCCACCAATGAATCGAGAATCAATCAACATAGCCGAGGTTATCCGTGTCTCTGTCTCTCTCTCCCCGTGGTGAAGGTGTTCCCCTCCACACATTCAGAGTCAACAGCGGCACGCGCTTAGCGTCTTTGACCGATAGATACATTGACGCATGTATTGTTGGTTCTTTCAGTAAAGTCACGTAGATAGAAAATAAACATAACAGATTAAATTTAATAAGATAAAGACCACTTGTGTTGCGATCGAAACGACGTGGTTTTTGCTTTATTTTAAAAAAATATATTTTTCATTTAATTTATTATCTATTATTTTTATTTTATTTTCTATCTACGTGACTTTACCGAAAGAACCAAGAATATTAATCCCTGCAGTCACCAAAGTTTTAAGTCAAAACATTCACACACGTTGACAAAGCCTCACCTTGTGTTGTTGTGGGCAGGTCGCTTCTGATAACAAGAGCGGTATAGCAGCTCAAGCGGGCTTGGCCTGCTAACAAAAGAAAATAAAAACTGCGTGAATATTTACAATGAAACAAAGTTACAAAGTGGCGAGCCGGGTGAAGACAAATTAAACTTAAGCGAGATAATTAAAGAGAACGCAATCAGGCGAGGGCAGGAGGCAAGGCCCCGCGTGGCTAGGCCCCGCGCTGTAAAGTTCCAACCTGGACATCGATTCCCATGCTCGCTGCTACTCAACTGACATCCCTACGCGAGAGAGCGAGGCGCTACCTTGGTAAACAACAACAACCACTACAACCACCACCACAACAACCACAATCGCAATGAGAATTTTTCACCTCAGATTTCAGTGCCTGTTATCTCGTGACGTCACGCAGCAGCAGGTGACGTGACGTCACTTCCGGGGTACGAGGCACGATCCTCCCACAATGAGCGGCTCCGTAAATAAATAAATTATACAATGAATAAATTATGTTAATGTTGCGTCCAAATGTCGTGGGTGCTGAACCCGTCGCAATAAACTCGCGACGGCTTTAACGATACACATTATGTTAATGAGCCTCCAGTCACTGGGCGTAGCTTTGCCCAAATAAGGATTGGCACTGGAACGATATCGGCAGTGACCCAAGCGGAGGTGACATCATGTGCAAGAGCGCGGTGGACGGGGGAGGGGTGAATACGTTGGTGACATGATGTCACTAGCGAGGTACACCTCCCCCTGGCGTTTCACGCCGATGAGGTAATGCAGAATTTGGACGTCACAGAGTTGGAGTTTAAGTTGATTTAGATTCATTTTCCATTGCTCCCTCCCTTGGGTGTGTGAGCTCAGCAACAACGTGGACATTATTGTGTATACACTGTGTGTGTGTGAGCTCAGCAACAACGTGGACATTATTGTGTATACACTGTGTGTGTGTGTACACTGTGTGTGTGTACACTATGTGTATACACTGTGTCACTGTGTGTCGCTGTGTGTGTCACTGTGTGTCACTGGGTGCGTCACTGTGTGTCACTGTGTGTGTGTCACTATGTCACTGTGTGTGTACACTGTGTGTGTATACACTGTGTGTACCCTGTGTGTGTACACTGTGTATACACTGTATGTACACCGTGTGTACACTGTGTGTGTACACTGTGTATACCCTGTGTGTGTACACTGTGTGTGTGTACACTGTGTGTGTGTACACTGTGTGTATACACTGTGTGTGTACAGTGTATGTGTACACTGTGTGTATACACTGTGTGTATAAACTCTGTGCCACTGCGTGTGTGTACACTGTGTGTATATATACACTGTGTGTGTACCCTGTGTGTGTACACTGTGTGTATACACTGTATGTACACTGTGTGTACACTGTGTATACCCTGTGTGTGTACACTGTGTATACACTGTGTGTGTGTGTGTACACTGTGTATGTGTGTACACTATGTGTATACACTGTGTGTACACTGTGTGTGTACACTGTGTGTGTGTACACTGTGTGTGTACATTGTGTGTACACTGTGTGTCGCTGTGTGTGTCGCTGTGTGTGTCACTGTGTGTGTCACTGTGTGTGTCACTGTGTCACTGTGTGTGTCACTGTGTGTGTGTCACTGTGCCTGGCACAAGCGTCGTGGTGACGTCACCACCACTTAGTTGCGAATGGCGATTGTTGTTGTGTCACTGTGTCACTGTGCGTCTGTCACTGTGTGTGTCAGTGTGTGTACACTGTGTGTGTACACTGTGTATGTGTACACTATGTGTGTACACTGTGTGTGTACACTGTGTGTGTGTACACTATGTGTATACACTGTGTGTACACTGTGTGTGTACAGTGTGTGTAAACTATGTGTATACACTGTGTGTGTGTACACTGTGTGTGTGTACACTGTTTGTGTGTACACTGTGTACACTGTTTGTGTGTGTACACTGTGTCTACACTGTGTGTGTACACTGTGTATACACTGTGTGTATACACTGTGTGTGTGTACACTGTGTATAAACTGCGTGTGTACACTGTGTGTGTACACTGTTTGTGTCCGCATTGAACCGAACCCCCGGCAAGGCCATCTACTTAATGACGAGAGAAAATTCACACGAAATGTCCTTTTCAATGAAGTCTTCCAGATGTAAATTGATACAAGCTTTTAATGTTTAAATGTTGTGACTTTCCTGGCCTGAATGCCGTCAATGTGTTGGACCCTTATTGGTGCACAGCGTCTCAACAACAGCAGTGGGGTTTGCTTCAACCGATGGTTACGAACATCCAGACGAGAATTAGCAAGGTGCATTTCTAGTCCCAATTAGACAAAATCTACGTCAACACGTAAGACAAAACTACAATTCGTGTTGTAGAGAATGTACCTCCTCCTATACGTGTAACTTTCAAGTGGTATGCCTTGTAACTGATTAATGATCCGAGCGTGCTCCCTATTTCAAAGACCATGAGTTGCTCCAGAGGCAGATGCTTCGTGAAACACAAAAGTACCCTTTGACCTGTATCACAAGAACAACGGGTCTCACCTGAGTTCTCTGTACAGGTTACTTCCAAACACACACACACACTTTGACGTAACATCACTTATTCATTGTTTGACCCTCAGGCAAAATGATACATGCACGCGCACAATCAGACAAGTATTCATTCTAAATCATTGACGGGCATATTAACAACATTGAATTACTGCAGCGAAATTGACTGCATCACGTTACATCGTATTAACAAGAAGCTATTTTACAAATACGCACCGTCTGCTTAACAGTGTATGTACAACGTACTATTGTTGCGTCATTCAAAACGAGTAGGCCATTGCATGCTGGCGTCTGGGTCAAAATGTAGCAAATTTTAAACATTACGCTACAAATAATAAATCACGGCGTTTCGATGGCAACACAAGCAATCGTCATCAGGTGGGACAAGCACAGCAGCAATAAGAAACTACTGGAGTAGGCGCCTACTACTTCAGCAGTTTCTCTTGCTGTGGTTGTCCCACCTGATGACGATTGCTTGTGTTGTGATCTAAACGCCGTGGTCAGTTATGTTTCTACCCACGTGGTGACTTTACCGAAATAACTCAAAAATGTGGATTCCTGCAGTCACGAAAGCTTCGAATCAAGATTGCCTACAAACTACACAACTGAGAGGACGCATCAATCATCGCCTCCTACTGACAGGCTCTTGTCCACATGCAGGCTGGTGCAGGGCCACCACCTTGTGCCACACAGGGGCAGCTGCTACTTGGGGATGCTCTTCGAGCGTTTCAGACGAGACACGAAACTCCGAGTTGCTGAGGCGGTTAAGCGAGCAAAGCGTAAAAGCAATTATCATGAGAACATCGTGAATGCTTGGGAGCTGCTTGGCTCTCGCTCCTGGTCAGAGATTGACCCAACCCACAGGTCCACAAAGACTGGCCGCTCTTACTCTGCAGGTTGAACCTAGGAAATGAGTGTTCAACTTCACATTCTTGTCATTAAAGGCCTGTGACAAAGGTGCATCTATTGTAGCGACATCGTCTCTGGCTTACACATCTACCGGGTCTCCACTTGACTTTGGATTGTCTCGGAGGAAGTCCACCCACACCTCCACTTCCACAAACTGCTGGGAGTTGCCTCGCTCTGCCTCACAGTCAGAATTCTCATGCTTCACGTTGCCTCCATCGATGTGAAGGTCCCATTTTGGAGTTGAATCTTCATCTTCACATTTCACCTTCACTTCTTCCCTCTTCACCATCACTTCTTCATATTTCACCTTCACTTCTTCGCTCTTCACCATCACTTCTTCACATTTCACCTTCACTTCTTCGCTCTTCACCATCACTTCTTCCCTCTTCACCATCACCTCTTCATATTTCACCTCGATACCTTTAAAAGTGTCCAAGCTGGGATTTTCTTCCGGTTCGTGTTTCATGAGGGATGGGCTTATTGCGGCACTTTGACTTTCACAAGCTGATTTCAGACTCCACTCCTTGTGGACCTTCTGATGCTTTTGTGTTTTCTGGTGCACTTGAAGATGTTGTTGCTGTGCAAACGCTATCCCGCACGGAGTGCACCTGAAGGGTTTCTCTCCCGTGTGTTCTCTGGTGTATTTGAAGATATGATGAATCTGCAAACGCCTTCCCACACACACTGCACTTGAAGGATTTCTCTCCTGTGTGAGTTCTCTGGTGTTCTACAAGAAGAGATGAATGTGCAAACGCCTTCACGCACACACTGCACTTGAAGGGTTTCTCTCCCGTGTGTGTTCTCTGGTGTATTACAAAAGCAGATGAATATGCAAACGCCTTCCCACACACAGTGCACTTGAAGGGTTTCTCTCCCGTGTGTGTTCTCTGGTGTATTAGAAGAGCAGATGAATGTGCAAACGCCTTCCCACACACACTGCACTTGAAGGGTTTCTCTCCCGTGTGTGTTCTCTGGTGTTCTACAAGAAGAGATGAACGTGCAAACGCCTTCACGCACACACTGCACTTGAAGGGTTTCTCTCCCGTGTGTGTTCTCTGGTGTATTACAAAAGCAGATGAATATGCAAATGCCTTCCCACACACAGTGCACTTGAAGGGTTTCTCTCCCGTGTGTGTTCTCTGGTGTATTACAAGAGCAGATGAATGTGCAAACGCCTTCCCACACACACTGCACTTGAAGGGTTTCTCTCCCGTGTGTGTTCTCTGGTGTTCTACAAGAAGAGATGAACGTGCAAACGCCTTCACGCACACACTGCACTTGAAGGGTTTCTCTCCCGTGTGAGTTCTCTGGTGTTCTACAAGAGCAGATGAACGTGCAAATGCCTTCCCACACACACAGCACTTGAAGGGTTTCTCTCCCGTGTGAGTTCTCTGGTGTTCTACAAGAGCAGATGCACGTGCAAATGCCTTCCCACACACACTGCACTTGAAGGGTTTCTCTCCTGTGTGAGTTCTCTCGTGCTGTGTGAAATCTCCAGTACGATCCGTGCTGTATGCACACCGGTCGCATTGGAGCCTTGTCCTACCGAGCTGTGCTGAGCGCATTTGCTCCATCAGACCAATTCTGCGGAGGAAGCGTCAGAGGAAGCGTCAGCTGCAGACAGAAAAAAATAATATCCACACCATCTACACGTCAGTATCGAGGCACAGAGGAATGCATATATAGTCACATGTGACTTACACGTCTATATTCATATATTCATGATGTAGTAAAAACGTTTCCCAAATTCATCACAGGGCTGTTATGGCACACAATGAGAGGGCAAATGGTTATAAATATGCCTGGAAGCCCTCGTATCTTCAAAATGAATGTTAACCCAAAACTCCAAGCACACAATTTCGGCGGTCTGGCTACAAAAGGAATATTTATGAGAGCTAAATTCAGCTGACATAGCAAAGGGTGTTGAAAACAATACTATTTGTGTTAGGCAGAAATTCATAAATTAATGTTCAATCGCAACTTAGAGGTGTGAATCCAGGCTCAGATGTCCTTGAATGCTGGGATGAACAGTTCTAACTTCAGCTGCATGTGTGTGCTGTGTTCACCTCCTGTTTCCATTCTTATAAAGAGTTCCAGAGGAAAACAAAAATAAACTATTGTTATGATATAACCTCCGTGTTCAACAGAGTTAATAGACGTTACTGCAAACACAAACTGTACACTGTCACTGGGTAAACAGGCGGTGGCGTGTCTAGAATCACGCCTGGCCACCTTCATCTGCATGGCATGAATGCTTCCTCACTCCACCAAGTAATTAATTGAGGATCAACGAACATATCCGAGGCTAACTGGAGTTTGCGTGTCTCTCTCCGTGGTGAGATGTTAACTACCTCACCTGGTATACAGGAAGTCGTGGGTTCGATCCCGACCCTGACGCCTGCTGTATATTTGGAGTTTGCGTCACTCCGTATAGCATCTTTGACCGATAGACATTGACACACGTATTCTTGTTGATTTCGGTAAAGTTACGTAGATAGAAAATAACAATAATTGATAATACAATTACATTAAATAAAGACCACTTGTGTTGCGATCAAAACGACGTGAGTTGTTTTGCTTTATTTGGAATTATTCATTTATTTTATTGTTATTTTTATTTAATTTTCTATCTACGTGACTTTACCGAAAGAACCAAGAATATTAATTCCTGCAGTCACCAAAGTTTTAAGTCAAAACATTCACACACGTTGACAAAGCCCCACCTTGTGTTGTTGTGGGCAGGTCGCTTCTGATAACAAGAGCGGTATAGCAGCTCAAGCGGGCTTGGCCTGGTAACAAAAGAAAATAAAAACTGCGTGAATATTTGCAATAAAACAAAGTTACAAAGTGGCGAGCCGGGTGAAGACAAATTAAACTTAAGCGAGATAATTAAAGTGAACGCAATCAGGCGAGGGCAGGAGACAAGGCCCCGCGTGGCTAGGCCCCGCGCTGTAAAGTTCCAACCTGGACATCGATTCCCATGCTCGCTGCTACTCAACTGACATCCCTACGAGAGAGAGAGGCTCTACCTTGGTAAACAACAACAACAACAACCACCACCACAACGACCACCACCACAACGATGAGAATTTCTCCACCTCGGATTTCAATGCAAGCGCGCACACGGCAGCTTCCTGTTGCCTCGCGACAGCAGGAAGTAGTATGACGTCACTTCCCTCCCACGAGCGGCTCTCTAACTGAATAAATTATATTTTGATTTAAAGCTTTCGTGACTGCAGTAATTCATATTCTTAGTTTTTTCGGTAAAGTCACGTTGAAGAGAAACAACAAAATAATAAAAAATATATAAAACAATAAAAAATTCTCACGACGTTTCGACCATAACTCAAACGGTCATCTTCAGGTGTGTTGGTTTGCATAAATTTATTTAAAAAAAAGATCTCCAAAATCTTGAATAAACACAAGATCCAGGTCCGTTTCAACACATTACATAAAATCCGTGATCTGGTTCCGTCTGTAAAAGATGTGATTCCGGACATACAATACCCTGGTGTCTACAAACTAAGTTGCCTCTGTGGTAGTAGTTACATTGGAGAAACCAAACGCCATGTCTCGGACCGCATTCGTGAACATAAAGCAGACCTTAAACACGGTAGGACCAACACCTCGGCCGTAGTAGATCATTGTTCTAATTCAGTAGGCTCACATGCCATTGACTTTTCCAAGACGGAGGTTCTTTGTAAGCCATCTGGCTTCCATGAGAGATTCGTTCATGAGGCTATCCACATATACAAGCACAGAGACAATTTCAACCGAGAAGATGGATTCTGTCTTAACAATCATTGGAAAGATTTGATAAACCATTTCAGTTCTTAATTGATTGTTCACGCTTACAGTGGCTTTCAGACAGCATACATTATAAAAAAATTTCGTCTCCCCCCTCCTCTTTTCAAAAAATATAGATGGACTAGTCCTGGGCAAACTGCCAAATCGCTGCGCGTGACGCTAACGTTTTTTAAATAAATAAATAAATGCGCCGTTTAAAAATAAATTTATGCAAACCAACACACCTGAAGATGACCGTTTGAGTTATGGTCGAAACGTCGTGAGAAATTTTTTAATTGTTTTATATATTTAATTATTTTGTTGTTTCTCTTCAACGTGACTTTACCGAAAAAACTAAGAATATGAATAAATTATGTTAATGAAACCGGCCCTACGTCGAGGGATGGGGGCGTGGGCGCTGAACCCGTCGCAATAAACTCGCGACGGCTTTAACGGACACATTATGTTAATGAGCCACCAGTCACTGGGCGTAACTGTGCCCAAATAAGGATTGCCACTGGAACGATATCGGCAGTGACCCATGCGGAGGGGACGTCACGCTCAAGAGCGCGGTGGACGGGGGAGGGGTGAATACCTTGGTGACATGACGTCACTAGCGAGGTACACCTCCCCCTGGCGTTTCACGCCGATGAGGTACTGCAGAGTGGTGACGTCACAGAGTTGCAGTTTAAGTTAATTTAGATTAATTTTCCATTGCTCCCTCCCTTTGGTGTGTGAGCTCAGCAACAACGTGGACATTATTGTGCATACACCGTGTGTGTGTATACACTGTGTGTCACTGTGTGTCGCTGTGTCACTGAGTACCTGGTGCGGTGTGTAAATATCGCCACTAGGGAGACAAAGGCGGTCGGGCGTGGTGCTGGCCACCCACCCCCTCGTGTACCGTTCCGGCCTTCATAGGTGCTCGCTAACAGCACTTGCCCCTACAGTCTGTTAAGGCTATACGGGGATCTTTGTCTTTGTGTGTCACTGTGCCTGGCACAAGCGTTGTAGTGACGTCACCGCCACTTAGTGGCGAATGGCGGTTGTTGTTGTGTCACTGTGTGTAACTGTGTGTGTGTACACTGGCTCCAGTTTAACAGCAGAGGTCTCACTCCGAATCAGTCGAGTGGCAATATCTTTTCATCGGTTGCGTAACGCTGTGTGGAAGCTACCTGGTCTGTCGCTCCGCACTAAGCTTCAGGTCTTCTTGGCCACGGTCATTCCCTCCCTTCTCTACGCTTGCGAAACGTGGACCCTCTTAATGGAACATCTTCGCCGGTTAGAAACATTTAGGCTGGCCTGCCTACGATCCATCCTGGGTTTAACCAGACTGGATTGTGTGAGGAGCTCACAAATCCTTGAAAGATCTGGGCAAGGTCCCATCGGTGAGCTCCTCCGGTGGGCAAGGCTGCGATGGCTGGTTCATGTAGCCCACATGCCCAGCCACCGCATGCCGAAACAGCTTTTGTTCGGCCGGATCGAGGGGGCTAAGCGGGCGCGGCACGGGCTAGAGAAGAGATGGAGTGATGTGGTACAGGAGGACGTGGAGCTGAGTGGACTTGCCGATGACTGGTACCAGCGGTGTCAAGATCGGCTTCTGTGGAGGAGGCTCGTGAAGGATGCTACTGGGCAGTTGGAGGTATTCGCCCTCCAACAACAATGGAGGGCGGAGGAGCGACGCTCAGAACGAGCGGAGCGCCGGGTGGCTAAAGCACAGCAGGTTGGCACAGTAGGGGGCACAGGTGGTGCATCAGCCAGTGATCTCAGTCAGTCGACCCGTGGCACCTGGGTCTGCCCCGTGACCTCCTGCCAGCGGGCGTTCGACACTTCACGTGGCCTCAGGGTGCACATAGCTTGGCACAAGTGTCGTGGTGACGTCACCGCCACTTAGTGGCGAATGGCGGTTGTTGTTGTGTACACTGTGTGTGTACACTGTGTCACTGTGTTTGTACACTCTGTGTGTACATACACTGTGTGTGTACCCTGTGTGTGTACACTGTGTGTACACTGTGTACACTGTGTGCACACTGTGTGTGTACATTGTGTGTACACTGTGTATAAACTGTGTGTGTACACTGTGTGTGTACAATGTGTGTGTACATTGTATGTGTACACTGTGTGTATACTGTGTGTACAGTGTGTGTGTACACTGTGTATACTGTGTGTACACTGTGTGCACTGTGTGTACATTGTGTGTACACTGTGTGTGTGCACACTGTGTGTGTTTACACTGTTTGTACACTGTTTGTGGCCGAACCCCCGGCAAGGCCATCTACTTAATGACGAGAGAAAATTCACACGAAATGTCCTTTTCAGTGAAGTCTTCCAGATGTAAATTGATACAAGCTTTTAATGAAGAAATAAAATCATCCAATTCAAAACACAACACAATTCAAAGATGTTTCATTTTAAAACTTCAAAACGGAGCATGGGGTACTTGCGTGAATGCGTCCTTCGTGTGCAAATGTTGTGACTTTCCTGGCCTGAAGGCCGTCAATGTGATGGACTATTATTGGTGCACAGCGTCTCAACAACAGCAGTGGGGTTTGCTTCAACCGATAGGTACGAACATCCGGACGTGAATGAGCAAGGTGAATTTCTAGTCCCAGTTAGACAAAATCTACGTCAACACGTAAGACAAAACTACAATTCGTGTTGTAGA